GTTATGTATCTTCATTACATATTTTTAATGATGCACACACAAAAAAAACCCGTCGCAGAAACACACAGCCGGCATAAACAGGTTTAGGCCTCTGGAGTTTAATGGGGTGACTTTAATGAGCTCCGTGGAGGGGGACTGACGAACTCACCCTCAAGACTTCAAATCCGTTCATATTGAAGATTTAGACAACACACAAGTGGTCCGGCACCGACTCTGAATGTCGTCAGACGTCCTGAATGGATCATGAGCTGAATGTAACGTACATAACTCTGGACGGGTATGTGGAGGTGAACAAGTACAGACACGTTTATTTTGCCGTCATGCTTGCAGCTTACGTTCTCATCCTTTGCTCTAATTTCACCATCCTGTGCATCATCGTGAGTCACACGAACCTCCACGAGCCGATGTACGTTTTCATCGCAGCTCTGTTGATCAACTCTGTCCTTTACAGCACTATGATCTACCCGAAGCTCCTGACTGACGTTCTGTCTAAGAAACAGGTCATATCTTACCAAACCTGCCTCTTTCAGTGGTTCCTGTATTACTTCTTGGGTGGCTCAGAGTTTTTTCTGTTGGCAGCCATGGCCTATGACAGGTATGTGTCCATATGCAAACCTCTGCAGTATCCAACCATCATGACGAAGACAGCCGTGGGGGTTTTCCTGCTGCTGGCTTGGCTTCTGCCTGTCTGTATGGCTGCCGTGCCGATCGTACTGAGCGCCAACACTAAGCTCTGCAGCTTAACTTTCAAGGGAATCATCTGCAGCAGCGCAGTTCAAAAGCTCCACTGTGTCAAATCAGTACTTCTACGTATATACGGCTTGGTGGCTTTGGGAGCTAACATGCTCTTTCCTGTGCTTTTCATAGCTTTTACCTACGCCAGGATATTCATAATCTCCTACAGGAGCTGCAGAGAAGTCTGGACCAAAGCTGCTCAGACCTGTTTGCCTCACCTGCTGGTTTTAATCTACTTCTCCTGTTTGGTCACTTTCGACGTCCTCATCGTTCGACTGGACGCCAACTTTCCCAAATCCGTGCGTCTAATCATGGCGCTGCAGACCGTCGTGTGTCATCCTCTCTTTAATCCCGTCATATATGGACTGAAAATGAAAGAGATCAACAAACATCTCAAGAGTTTGCTCAGAAAGATGGTCAAACGATGTTGGACGGTCGGTTTTTCGTGCAACAACAAGGCAGAGATGTGAACACGCTTTGTCAGAACTATGTGAAAACTCCACTGTGTGTTCGGTGAACCTGATTTTTATACCGTTTACATCCACACTGATCTTTTATAACAACCTGCTGAAGATGCAGAGAAATGAGGAAAAATCTGTTCACCCAGTCGATGGTTTTAATTTTCCTGTTTGTGCTCAAGCGACGGACTTCTTGTTTGACTGGGAACTGATTTTTTTTGTTTCTTCACAGATTGTAATGCAGTATTCTTTCTTTTTCATCCTCTCTTGTTGATAAAAAGTGATTTCTAAGATCCCCGATAGGCATCTCATGTCATGTAAGAGCCTTATTGGCTTCAGTAATATGCGTCAAATCGATCTCCTGCAGATGTTTAAAAACCAACATGAAACCAATTCTCAGCTGTATTTCTGTTGCATAATACAACCAGTTTATGGAGGATTTCTTTGATGGCAATGAGTGGGGAAAAATGCAGATTTTTATTTTATTGTACATAAATGAATAAAAGAAACCAAATGAACGTTGCTGCCGTGTGATGTTTTTATCATTGCGGAGACTTTTGTCGGTGTGCAGCCACTTGTATCTGTGCAACAAGAGGGAAACAAACAGATGACAAACAATGATGGTAAATTCCTCCTAAGAGCTGAGAAATGCAAAACAATAGAGCTACAGATCCATATAACAGAGAGTATGATTTAAAATACAATAAAATATGATAGCATGTGATATTGCACATCTTTATTTTGAAGTAAATAATATTATTATATTGTATATTATGTTCATGTTATTCTATAGTGTTTATGTATTATTCTATATGATATACTTCTATGTATTATTTTTGATATATTTCTGTTATTACTTCCATTATTCTTGTCGTGTCTTTTTGTTGTTGATTTGTTCT